CCCCCCCCCCCCCCCCCCCCCCCCCCCCCCCCCCCCCCCAAGGGGAGAGGGGAAAGGGTGAAGTAAAAGCCTGGAGGAAAAACAAAACAAACAAAATGGTTGTGAAGGACAAGCAAGTTAAGAAAATATACTTTAGTCTAAACTTAAATAAGAAGGTCCACACTTTTTTGTCAAAACATTAAGCCTCTGTCAAAAATGTATTTTTTTTTCTTTTTATAGTACAGGATTAAAAGACAAGATGATGCTTACACGGTAAAGAAATAATTTACATGAAAATAACTTCAGACTTTTCAGCTTTTCAATCAAAATATTTCATAACATTCAAACATGACATACAACAACAAAAGAAACAGTGAATGCAAACAAAAATGTTATATGATTTCTTTCAAACACATAAATAAATGAAATATTGGTGTAGGCAGTAGGGCTCATGCTGATGGCTAGCAGGAAATAACAGTGTGCAATCTATTTGGAAAAAGCTCTAAAGTACAAATTACAAGCCCAATTATGGACTGCAGCAAGTTCAGTTATATCACTGCCATCCTCTCTTATCTCCAAAATAAATTCTTGATTAAATCATTCATACCCTAAATTACTCATACCTTTGCTTCAGAGATATGAATAACTATATACAAAAAGTAGTTTTATTTCACCATAGGGATAACATTGTACCTCCCTGCCAATGTCACTTGAAAAACCTTCCATGTCAAAACAATTTGACAGCAGACAAACAATTTAATAAATATGCAATGATCTTATTACAGTCCTTCAGCTAAGCATGTTACCTCATGCTGCTAGTTTTGAGATCACAGTGCATAGAATCCAAATACAAAAGAATGGGGTGGCTTTTAAGGTACAGGTAGATCCCTTGCTTATAATTCAAATATCTGAAACTTTCCCCAGCTCTATTACACATCAATCTTTTTGTGGCAGGAGCAAAAAACCTTTCCCTGGTACAATGTCCATTGCCGGCAATGGATGCACCAAAACCGCAAAGGAGTTCAGTGTTATTGCACAATATATGAAGACCTGGAATTCTCCAAAAGCTTAAAATAAAAATAATGGAATTATTCTGACATTTCTGGACACCTGCATTAATACTGTATGACTAATAAAAGCATGTCAGTTGCATGGACTGAACCAGCGATCAACATGCGCCCAGAATGCACACTAGTAAAAATGCAGTCAAAGGAAGTAGTCTTCTTTGCCTATAGGTCACTTCCAGTCAAAGGTTAAAGTTCAAAGACTGAATGATCAAAGTGCTCGTTTTCTCAGTAGGACTATCTTCTGCTACGAGGATCACAAAATGGTGGCATCAACATGTGTCATCTTTAAAATAAGATAAAAAAAGAGAATGTTTATATATTTACTACAAACACTAAGTCCGAATTACCAAGGAGATGTATGCATGAGCAACTCCTGGCACAGAAATTAAGGCGCAGTGGAAACACACCAAATGAATAAGTTGACAATTCTGTTCAATAATGACTCAAGAAAAAGAGATGAGAGTATAAAATACAAAATTGCCAAACTACTATCCACACATTCTTAAGTGCATTAGTATTGGCAAGCAGTCAATCAAAAGGACAATAATTAGTACATTCAATATTTAGAAAGTCAAACACTAGGAAAAGGAAATACCAAATACACTAAATATTTTGATCCCCTTGAAGTAAAAGCAGGCCTACATCCATTTCTGAAACTGAGAAATCTTTCCATAAGGAATATATATCGGTATGTGTCAGCACAGCTGGTTTATCCAGATGCCTCCAATCTTAACACTTTTTTATATTTCTCAAGAATCAACACAAACTACATCTGATCGAACCATGCAAAGGCAATACATCACTCCTGTAACACTAAGACTTGAAATGTGAAAATATTTATATTCGCTGAATTTTAAGGACTGTGACTGGACCTATTAAAAAAGAGAATACTGCGCCAGGTGTGTCTGCTCTACACTTTAATATTTAAATATAAATATTTGCCTGAGGAAACTTACCCATTTAAACCTTTCACTCCACATATCAACATGTAGAATATTTGCAACTGGTAACAGGAGATATTAAGCTTGTAAACAGAAAACGAACTTACTGTCCAGTCATTAATGCACTAACTTGTAATCTTGCATACACAGAAAAGGTAGCCATACAAACAGCACACATTACTAAATCCATGAACAGTAAAAATAGAAGTCACAGCAAACAGTTCTACATTCTCACTGGGAAAACACTATGTGCTCAGTACTACTACATATCAGGGAAAAAAAAGAAAAGAGCCTTTGTTTTATTAAGAGGGTAAGGAACAAAGCTGTACATGTAAGGAAAAAAAAGGGTAAGAACGCAAGAGAGATGATGAGGTGTTTAAATAGCATAGTAAAAGTTTAGAAGTATCAGGGAAAACACCTCTTAAAAAATAAAATCAAAAGCCAAAAACAGTAAGGAATTGCTGGCTGAAAAAAAAATCACCAATGCCACATACTCTTTCTCCCCATAAAATTCTACCTCTTAACAACACAAAGGAATAGACAACAGCTTTATGAAACCAATTTCAGCCTAACATGGCTAAGAAAACCTTATCTGGAAGATCCTCCTTTGTCTTTGACACAGCACAACCAACTCTGAGAAAGTCGATGTGAAATTCAATGTACAGTTGAAGGAGGTGTTGAGTATGGTAGTCAAAGACACCATTAGTAAGACAAAGCAGGTTTTAAAAGAGGACTTCTGAGGATGCTGAGTTTGTAACAAACAAGGATCTATAACTGTTTACAGAATAAGTTGTTTTGTTGAGTCAGGGAGGAAATGACAATTTTTATCTAATATTTGAAGATTTTACTTTTTTAATTTAAGTATTTAAAAGGATTAGAAGCACAGTAATAGTTTAATTAGTTGTAATTGTAATTAGTAGCTAAAAAGGAAGTAAAAACAAATGAAAATATTATGAAGCAAAACAATAAGTTATTTAAATGAACTGACTTGTTTTCTCATCTCTTCAGTTGCTTTTCCAGGTTACTCTGACTTAGTAGGTTCTCCGACTTTCAGAAAACAACTACTGAATAACTGCTTTGAGGTAACTACATGATTTGTTCAACGGAATACAAGCAGCTTGATTTTCTTTCTGGGTCACAATTATATAGTAACTTTCAGAGTCAAATAGCCACTTTTTTTTTCTGTACTTATTTGATCTTTTGCTTACTTAACTCAAATTTCATGAATAAAAAATGAAAGTATTATCTGTTCTACTTGAGAGACACAACTCCCAAACAAAAGGAGATGGCTGTAGTACCAATGCAAAGTAAGCAGGACTTATTTTAACTACAACATAAAGCCAATAAATGAAATTTAATTTCATTTCCCTTTAGAATTAACTAGCAAGTAAAAACAAAATTAAAATAGTAAATTAAAAAAAATTCCAAAATAGCCAATAAAGATAAAGCAAACTCAAAATAATTAAGCAGCAAAGATACTGCAAGAGTGAAAAACAAAAAAAAGAAAAAGTGAGTATTGAATAATCTAGTGAAGATGAAAAATCCAGCCTATTATCCTTGCAGAGAAAGAGTACAATTATTATTGGAGTCAATTTCATAAACAGCATTATTTACAACCATATGATAAGCAGCCTTAAGTTTCTTAAATACTTACACCCTACAACATACAGCACTGGCCTTACTGTGATTGAAATCAACTTGTTTTAGACTATCACGAGTAGCACACTTTCATTCTGTTCCACTTCCATTTGTCAAAAAACCATGGGCATCCACAAATACTACGGAACTCAAACATTTACTATTAAGGCATCTCTGGGTTTTTGAGCATTTATGCACGAAAGCAGCATCATCTCTCCAGTCCTGCTATCTCAAACTACCTGACCTCACTTCACATACAAAACAGAACATTCCCTGGTGTAGGGAGACAGCAGAAAAATGCATGTCTTATGATGGATGCTTCACTTAAAGGTAAGAGCAGCTCTTCCCTGCATCATCTAAGCATACAGCATTTTCTGCTCTTTCCCAATGACTATTTGACAGTATTTTCCCAGTGAAAGCCAAGAACATAGAGCCAGCAAGAGAAAAGGAAAGCATAGCCTCTGTCCCTCCCATCCTGTCTTACTTTCTTTTAGGGACCAGACACAACTAGCACATACAGCCAAACCTAGCTCTGGGAAGAAGATGACAAATGCTGAAGCAAAAGAAAGAAACCACACAGCATAAAGTCAGATAAAGAGCAGATGACAAGGAAAAAAACAACAAGAAAACAGCACTAGCACTACAGACACTGTAGAATTATAAAAAGCAATTCTAGTACATAAATATTTATCATGTACACATAAACTCTTATTACTACACTTCTAACTATAAGTTCCTAAGAGTCTTTAAGTCATCCAACTGTCTACACAGAAAATTCTGGCAGATGGTGGAATTAACTGAAAATATGTGACTGTTAGAAACATGTAAATGTGTTTCTACTGCAGTAAAAGCCTTAAAAGCCCTTAAAAGCATTACTGGCAATAAGAGAAAAAAGAGCTACACTCACTTTAATTAAGGATTTTCTACACCTCAAACTTAAGACCTCTCATGGATTGAGACAATTTACAAGAGCTATTATTCCAATTTAGCCCAACAATTCAAAACATACTATCTGTGCTATCTAAATTTCACTTGGGAGCCATTAAAACAAGATGTGCAGAAATTCACATCAAGTATCCAAGAAACAGCATTTCATAAACTTTTGAAATTAATGAGTTTAAGACTTTCAACGCATTTATCCTTCATTCCCACATTTCAATTGTCTTCAAAATTCCTGGTCTTAGTGAAATACTTACCATGATACCACCATTTTGTTTTCTTTGGATTCTTGTTACACGTTCTTACATAAAATGAGTTATCTGGAGGTCGCCTCTGCAACAGAAGAAAAGACCTACAAATAATCAAACAATCCCCATATAGTAAATACATGAACTATTTCAGAAGTTCATGAAAGGTTATGTGAATATAGTGAAAGTAAAGCAACAAACAGGGAAAGTCATCTTGCAAGAAAAATGTAGGTAATGGCTTTTATTGCAGATAATCCAAGCTAAGATCCCATGATAAATTCCAAATAGCCTAGAGAAAGACTGGGGTAGGAACAAGTGGGTATTAGGAAGAATAAGTAAAGAGGAGAGCCCATGAGAAAGGAAGAGTTTTTGATTAAAAAAAAAAATAAATAAAAGAGAAATTCCTTTCCATTTTTTTTTTATCTAATTGTTATATCTTAGGTCCAGTTCACACTGATAAATCGTAGCTTAGAATGGGTGAAAAATGAACTTTGATTCATTTGGTTTTGTTGGGCAAAGTCAGAGGCAGAGGATAAAACAAAGCAATTTGAGAGGTATTTTCCTACCAAAATCACATGAGTAGGACCAACTGGGATATGTTAAATATGCATGTTGGGAAAGCACATATCTGCCCCTGTACTCAGCTCTGGTGAGGCCTCACCTCGAGTACTGTGTTCAGTTTGGGGCACCTCAGTACAAAAAGGACACTGAGGTGCTGGAGCAGGTCCAAAGAAGGGCAACAAGGCTTGTGAAGGGCTTGGAGAATATGGCCTGTGAGGAGAGACTGAAGGAACTGGGGCTGTTCAGTCTGGGGAAAAGGAGGCTGAGGGGAGACCTTACTGCTCTCTTCCAATACCTGAAATGTGCTTACAGCGAGAGGGGGTTGGTCTCTTCTCACTGGTGACAGGATGAGGGGAAATGGCCTCAAGTTGTGCCAGGGTAAGTTTAGGTTGGATATCAGGAAAAACAACTTTACAGAAAGAGTGGTTAAGCACTGGAATGGGTTGAGTCACCATCCCTGGATGTGTTTAAAAACCATTTGGATGTGGTGCTCAGGGACATGATTTAGCAGAGGGTTGTTAGGGTAGTACGGTTAGTTCATGGTTGGACTCTATGATCTTTAAGGTCTTTTCCAACCTGAGTGATTTTATGATTCTATATGTACAAGCTCTGACCAAATTAACCTCCACAGAAATTCCACTCCAAAACTAATGGTCAAAAGTAAAAGAGCAACTTCTTTTCCAAGAAAAGTCTGAGCATCACTCATTTATGATCAAAAAGCAGCTTAGGATCATTTACTTTTCTGAAATAAAAGTGATCAAGGTCAATAAAATAGTACAACTTAGACATCTGCAAAAAAGACATTTCGCATTTCGTCAGTTGTTTTGAGTTGCCTTTAGAGACAAACAATTTTAACAGAATTGCAAGAATTTAACTTTGTGTTAATATAATGTAATGAATTGGTACAAACAGAAGCTTGCTATTTACACTTCTTCTCCAATAAAGCCATGCAAACAGATTACCATCAAACAAAGTTACGAAGTACTTACTGTACTATTTAGTTTGCAGTTCTAACTTAATACTTTCGAATAACAGAAATTTAGATGTAGCAAGTTTGCCTATTTTAGAATTTCAGAAACAAAAAAAATCTTACTTTGCAAAATAGAAAACTAATAATTTTCACTTATTCTACTCCAACGGTGCTGAAATCAGCAGGCGGTGGCAACCCTGCCCATCACAAGGTGACTGGAACTACAAGACCTTTAAGGGCCCTTCCAACCCAAGCCAGTGACTCTATGACAAAAAAACTTCATACCTTTTCTTTGCAGCTGGAAAGCATGCTAATAATGCTAAGACAAACAGATTGCACTGAGAGAGCTGGAGACCAGTCTTCTGTTAGAATGGACAAACAGATATGACCATTGCTATAAACATGTGGATGAACAGGAATATTGTCACCAGTAAACATGACCTAAAAAAAAAGAACAACACACATGTTTAACATCCAACTTTCAAATAAAACTACACAGTTTCTGTAAAATAAAGTGGGTTCCGACATTTTCATTTACAATAAATAATGCAACATACCATATTATATTCATTCATTTTTTGAGCTGTTAGTCAAAATGTAAAATGAAATGACAGAAGCCTTGTTAGCTAGTGAAAGTTGCATAAATGGCGAAATGCAGTTTATTCCTATGAATAGCTACAAAACAAAAAGAATATAAAAGCAACAAATATCTCTAACTGAAGATTTTAAATCTTGAAACCTCAGTCTTTTACATCCTAAGGAAGCCAGACACATATCCAGAAGGTTAGATTCACAAATTAGTATTTCTATGGACACAATAGGATGTAATTCTGGACAACTCAAGAAGAGTTAAACACACTAATCCTATTAGCTATAACATAAAGGACTCTTTACAACCATAATACATTATCGCATAGGAAATATTTTAGATTGTTATTTAAGTGGGAATTACTTTCATTTAACAGAAGCAAACAACAGAGAACAGCACTGAGAACCTCCCCTCCATTTAAGGATAATAAAGGTTAGAAAATCAATTTTGACAATTACTGCTCTTACAGTAAGTTTGACAAAAACATGAGGTCAGCTCAGGACCAATGAAAAGGGAGTAAAAAAATCAAAATCCTCACAGCAGCATTATCCTCCTGAGCTCCTTATCCAACATAAGCACTGCAATCTTTTACAGAATAACATAATAACTCTATACCACTCAAACCACAACATCTTCTTAAGATTTTCTAAGTTCATGTGCATGTTCACACACCCCATCGCACTACTGACTACCAGAAAGAAGTTTCACCTTAATCACAAATGAACCTGAGGTGAGAAAGCTCAACCTATTTGCCAAATGGCATGCATTTCTCTTTACGACAGCAGAAAAAAGTGGATGCAGAATGATTTTTATCTGGTATATTTTATACACTGAAAAGCTTACCTTTGTAACTTAGTAACATATTTAATATCTAACTAATGTTTTACAGGAAAACAAGGACTAGGCATACTAGTAAGTAAAAGCATGCACACCATAACAGACAACATTCAATTAAGGCAGAAAACAATTAAGTGATTAAACAGCAGAAACATGAATTGCCAATTCAAAGAATGTAGATTTACAGGAGAAAGAATTATAAATCAAGAGTTTAAAACAGAGAATGAAATTACTGTACAGCAGCACGATGGAAATTCTAGCCATTCCAACTAAATAAGCAGCACTTAAATTCTTAATTGTCTTTTATGCTTACAAAGAAATAGCTACATTTGTCTATGTGTACTGATCTAGATTGCTTTTTTACAATAATTTTTTTACGTGTTGGATACTGAGTACAAACAGTACCTGCTTGGAATCAAAACAAAGTGGGTCGTGTGGATCGCTTATGAGTAGCTTACTGCAAACCTAACGAAATGCAGATGGGAATGGAATTTGCCAATTTATTCCTTAAAACCTGAGACTAAAGAGTCAGCATTTCTTAGTTTTTACCTTAATACTTAAAGATACGTATTTTAACATTTTAAGTGACTGGTGCAGCTCCTTGCTGGAGCTTCAACAACCACGAGAAAAGCAGAGATGACTCTTCAAACTTCGAGCTGAAACAGGGCCAGAACTAAAGCACTCAAGTTTCTTCTTTCATTCTCAGGAGAGCCAAAGTGATAACTGAACATCTACTTTCCTCCTACAAACCATGATTTCTAACAGTCCTCTCAGGTAATGGACAGGCGGATGTACAGAGCTCATTCTGCACCCAAGCAGTAATGCTGCCCCTCCAGTACTTAATGTTATCATGAAAGCAGTAGCTCACACTTCAATTATAACCACTAGATTTGCAGACCTGCCAGAGATGCCAGGTATTTATGAGAATCCCTACCACATTATTTTGACAGCCATATTAACAATGGCAGTAGGTGAAAGAGGTTTAAAAATGAACTAGAAGATGAAGAGGAGGCAAAAGAATTGTCGTTCAGGCCTGTGCTGCAGCAAAAGGAACCTTCCTACTATTGTGTTGCTCTTTCACAGTATACAAATAAAGCTCAAGTGTACATTGTTCTTTCATCTTCCATGAAACCAAGTGGACTGCAGTAGACACTACACTTCATTGAAGATTCGTTTCAATTTATGTTAAATATATTGTGCAGATGTGGTTTTTTTGTCTAGAAACAACTAAACCTCACATTAGGATATACAAAGAGCATTAATATTCAGCATGTGTCACACAACTATTGCTAAGAGGTAGAATTAAGTAGGAAGGAAGAAAGCAGACACCTGAGGCGAATCAAAAGGATATCGGCTACTGAACTTAAATAGAAGCTGAAATTTCTCCCCTTCGTATAGCGTTCCTGGAGCACCTTCCATGTCCACAATCCACCTAAGAATGGAGAAAAAAATAGTATTATGGACTAACAAACTATTATTTTACTCCTGGAGCACAGGACAAATAAAATCAACTACCACGCAGCCAATCTTCCAAACTCTCCATTAGTACAGCCGTTACAGAAGTGAATAATGCCTCAAGCCCACATTTGAAAGGATCAAGTTTGGTATTTCATATACAGGCACTGCCATAGCACTGCAAACTACAATGACTTGAACTCATCAGACTCATCAATTCCCTATTACATGAGCCACAGTTGACATAGAAGACTTCCAGAGACTATTCCTACATAAAAACAGGCTTGGAATATAACAGAGTAGCGGGCATTCTCCTTCCATGTTGTTTCTATCTTTCTGTCAAGGAAATCATCAATACAGTTTATTAAAATAAAATCTGCATCCCCAGGGTGAGGAGGAATGATGCTCCTGTGCATCTGTGAAGAAGTTAGAAATGAAATGCTACATAATCTGACACACAAGGAAACCATAAAACTGTAAAGGTTAACAGCATAAAAATGAAAAGGTCATAGAAAATTAAAAATAGAAAATGGACAATTTGCAACTGTAATTAAGATGTACTTCTCTTCTGCACCTGATCCTTCCATCACAACATGGAATAAAGTGACATGTTTTGTTTTGATTTAGGCAAAAATATGATTTTGTGCAGTGTTCATGACAAATAGCAACATCTTGCTCTGTCAATTCCATCGCTTCAGAGTTCTGTTGATCATTTAGCACTATCCTTTGTAGAACTGCTTCCCCATTTCTGTCTTTCACTGACAGAATTTCACGTGTCTGAGGGACAAAGTAACATAAAGATTTAGCAAGGGACTACAAAAACTCTCAGATAAGATCGTTTACATCAGTTGCAAGCGAGGCAAATGAGATTTTTCAGAACAGAAAACCATTCAAAGAACAAGGTCTATTTCAGCTGAAAGTTCTAACGATACTATTCCCAACCTCTCTCCATGCTGCCATCCCCGTATTTAAGTGGTGCACGCTAATCACAGAATGGGTTGAGTTGGAAGAGAGATTTAAGATCATCTAGTTCCAACCCAGTGCTATAGACAGGGACGCCTCCCTCTAAACCAGGCTGCTCAAAGCCACAACCAGCCTGGGCTAGAATGCCTCCAGGACAGGGGCATCTGCCACCTTGCTGTTCCAGTGTCTCACCACCCTCACAATAAAGAATTTTTTCCTAACATCTAATCTACATCTACCCTCTCCCAGTTTAAAGCTATCTCCCCCCTATCCTGTTGCTACATGCCTTTATAAAAAGGGCCTCCTCAGCTTTCCTGCAGACTCCCTTCAGGTACTGGAAGGCTGCTACAGGGTTCCCCCTGAGCCTTCTCTTCTCTAGGCTGAAGAGCTCTAACTCTCTCAGACTAACCTTGGAGGGGAGGTCCTCCAGCCCTCTGATCACCTTTGTGACCCTCCTCTGGACCCACTCCAACTGCTCAATGCCTTTCTTGTGTTGAGGGGTTTAGAACTGAACACAATTCTCCAAGTGGGGTCTTGCAAGAGCAGAGTAGAGGGGCAGAATCACCTCCTTCGACCTATTGGTCACATGTTTCTTGATGTAACCTGGATATGGTTGGCCTCCTGGGCTTGCAAGTGCATTTTGTTGGTTCATTTTAAGACTTTCATGACTCAACACCCTCAAATCTTTTTCCTGAATGCTGCTCTCAAAACATTATCTGCCCAGCCTGTATTTGTGTTTGGGATTGCTCTGATCCAAGTGCAGGACTTCACACTTGGCCTTGTAGAACTTCATGAGGTTGGCATGGGCTCAACTCTCAAGCCTGTCCAGGTCCCTCTGGATGGCATCCCTTCCCTCTAGCATGTCAATTGCACCACTCAGCTTGGAGCCATCTGAAAATTTTCTGAGGATGCACTCAATCCCACTGTCCCTGTTACCTACCTATAAAGACATTAAACAGTATTACTTCCAGCATCAATCCCTCATCTTCTTCTCTACTGCATTAAACTAATTTTATTTTTAGAAAAATTGCTCCCCTACAGAACTGCTGTCATCCTCCTCAGAAGGAATATGGTAATGGCTGTAATGGGGAAGAGCCCTTTAATTGCAGATGAAGTAAGGGGTGTCACTGTATGTAACAGAGTTGGATTGTATGGCACTTACACTTGGCAATTACATGTTGAGTGCCTCTGACTAAGGATTAGGGGGAAAGCAAATAAAACAGATATTGTTGCAGGAACCTACCATAGATCACCCAACCAGGATGACAACATCGATGAATGACTTTACAATGAATTAAGGGATATTTCCAGAACAGCTGCCCTTGTCCTTACAGATGATTTCTACTTCCCAGCTTTAACTGGGAATATCATATAACTGATATAAATAGGCTCAGGAGATTACTAAGGGAGCTTACTAGGAAAGGTGCCCTCCTAGATTTGTTACTTGTAAACAGAGAGAGTCTTGCAGGGAAGTGGCAATTAGCAGCCATCTTTGGCCACAGTGACCACAAAGCAGCTGAGTTTCAAATCTTTAGTGACAGGAAAACAGCCACCAAAACTTCAGCACTGAATATGGGAAAAGCAGACTTCAGGCTACTCAGGGAACTACTTTGTAAGATGCTGCAGGAATCTGTTTTTGAAGAAATTGGCACCCATCAGTGCTGGCCACTTTTAAGAGTCATATCTTAAGAGCAAAGGAGCAAGGGAATTTCAATGCATCAGAAATCAAGCAAGAGGAGATTAAGGCTGGCCTGGCTGAGCAGGGATCTTCTTCACAACCTCAGGGGAAAAAAGAAAATGTACTAACATTAGAATCAAGGCTTTTTTTAAACAGCAAAAGGAACACCAGAGAACACTGGCTCATTATTTGACAAGTTAAGTCACCTCACAAACAGGGATGTTCATGAAGGAGAAACATATAATGCCTTTTTTGCCTCTGCAGTACTGATGATAGAACTCCACAAGGGGACCAGAGGTGAGCTAGAGGAAAGAAACTTCCAGCCAACTCTGAATTTCTGCAGGATCTGCTGTTCCAGTTGGATATATGAAAATATGTGGAGTGTGAGAGGATTTATAGAGCTCACCAGAAGATCTCTTTCAATTATTTTTCAATGGTTTTAGAAATCTGGAGAGGTTTCAGCTGGCTGGAAGTTAGCAAATGTTTTAACTGTCAAGAAGGTCAACAAATACGTCCTGGTAATGACAGGACAGTCATTCTCACTTTAGTGACTTGTAAACAATATAAAAAATTATTCTGGAAGTTACTGAAAAACACTTGAAATAATGAAGTCATTAGATCATTATGTGAAAGTCCTCCTTCACTAAGTTATTGCCATTTACACCAAGGTTGTCCATATAGCTGATCAAGAGAAACCAGTACATGTAGGGTTTTTTGCTTTTTTTTTTTTTTTAATTTCAGACAAGTTTTTAACACTTACAGTAGCCTTCAGGGAAAATGGTCAGCATCCAGTCAGAGAAGTTCACAGTATGACAAGTAAACAATTGGTTCACAGGTCAGGCTCAAATGGCTATAGTAAATGGGGTTACTCCAGGCTGGCAGTTACTACTGGGGTTACACATGGCTCAATTTTAGAGCCTGTTCTCTTCAGGGTTTTTATAACTGATCTGAATGCAGGATTCTAAGGACACTAGGTAAGTTTGTTAATGACACTAAATGTTAATGACACTAAGAGTTGACTCCCTTGGAGGTAAATAGGCCTTGCAGTGAGATCTTGGCAAATCAGCAAACTGGATGATCACATGGAGTTTAAAAAGAACAAGTGCTGAATTCTGCACTTGTGATGGGTAACTCCATATATACGTAGAGACTCAGAGGACAAGAGATGGCTTTGTAGGAAGCCATTTGGTTGTCATCAAGTTGAATCAAAATTAGCAGTATGCCCTGGTAGCCAAAGGGACCAACCATACCCTGCAGTGCACCAGGCCTAGCACTGTTAGAACATCGAGGGAAAGGACTGCCCTGCTCTGCACTGGTGTGGCCTCACTTTAAACACAGTGTGCAGTTTTGGTGTCACAACGTAAGGACATAAAGGTATTATACTGCATCCAAAGGAGGATTATGAAGATGGTAAAGAGCCTAGAAGGCAAAAGACGGCAAGAGTGGCCGAGACCACTGAGTCTGTTTAGCCCAGAGAAGAGGAAGCTGAAGGGGAAGCATCACGACAGCCTACAGCTTCTCACGAGGGGAGCAAAGGGACTGGTGGTGATGTCTGCACTCTGGTGGCAGTGACTGTACACAAGAGAATGGCATGAAGCCGCATCAGATTGAGTAGTAGGAAAAGGCTCTTCCCCAGAGGGTGGTCAGGTCCTGGATTTGGCTCCTCAGGGCAATGGCCATGGCCTTCAAGAAGCACTTGGACAATACTCTTAGACAGTTTTAATTTTGGATGGTCTTGCCTAGATCCAGGAGATGGACTCGATGAGTCTCATGGGTCCCTTCCAACTCAGGATATTCTGTAATGATTTATTCTAGATGCAATTGAGACTACTTATCTCTTGCTATATATTCTGCTTTACATTTATAGACGCACTGCATCCTTTAAAGCTGTGCAGCTTTACTGGTCTTTGTGACCCAGAATCTCCACTTTCCAGTTTTTGAACTAGTTTTACTTAGAAAGTAGAAGATAATTCTTTCCAAACACTGCTTTTTTTTTTTTTTTTTTTTTTTTTTTTTTAAATGATTGAGGTATTGCTGGCTTTTTTCTTTTTGGTTTGTTTTGCTTAAGCCAAAACTTCTAATTAATGTGTACTAAAAAGAAACTGATTAAACTGGGTTTAAAATGACCCAGTTACACTATGGGCTTCAATTAATTGATTCAATTCCTTTCAAACCCAAGTGAGTACAAATCTATACTGTACCAGCTCTAACCACAATTTAATTATCTCAGAACATTCTACTTGGCACTGAAAGCCCTTAAAGGGCAAAGAAAAAAAAAAACAACAAAAGATATTTATAATGGCAGGAAGTTTTTTACTCAGCAATAATTTGGAAAAAAAAAAAAAAAAACAAGCACAACTGTAAACAGGAAGTTTCTATTTGTAACGTATTGAAAGGTATAAAAATTGCATGCAGCAATAAAAAAACAAAAACAAAAAAACCCAACCACAATGTAGCAGCACTCTGCTAACAAAGATATCCTTAGAATAATGGAAAACTATGAGCATAAAAAAACAAGCTTTTCTTTTTACAACTCTTATTAGTAAGAAATTCCGCAAAGCACCGTTTCAATTTGTTTCAGTAATATTCATCTGCATCATCACAAAAAGCAGGAACATTAAAAAGCAACAGTTGTGTAAAACTTCACGCAGCACAGTCTGTGTGCCATCACCAGAAATTCAGATGTGAAGCGACTTCAACTGGGCAGCTCCATGTTAGGTTTTTAAATTGATCCATCAGTCAATGGCACACATATCACAGAAAACAGCCTGAAATTCACACTCATAGAAAACCTTAGTAGATGCAAAAATCTAACACTTCCCTAAAATTAAGCTAAGAAAAACTTTGACAAAATTATCCAAAAATGTTAGAAGAGTCTAAGTCTTTGAATGTCAGTCAATTGAAAGAATTTTAACACAATGAAAACACCCGCTGACTTCAGTGAAATGCAGAGAATACTTAACTAACCTGTTTCAGTTTTACTAATCCCAAATAAAACTACAGCAAGGAAAACAGTGCAAAAAAATGAACTTCAGCAACTTTGCTTTTTTAAAAACCTTTCTCCACTTCTTTTAGAAAACATGGGTGGAAGTTAATAACTACGAAACTATCTAAATACTGTTAAAAAAAAAAAAAAAAAAAACTACATCAGTTCCATTCTTTGATGAAATTTAGAGGAGTCTCACAGGCTAGCAGCTGCAAGAGTTTCTTATATTGCTTTATTCCAAACCAAGAAGAGTTTATACCAATTGCCATGTTGTTAAACAGTAACATACCTAATATGAATTTCATGAATTCACTATGCTGGTTCCTGAGATTTCTGCATTATGCTGGGTAATACACTCATTAATTAGAAAAACGTTTTATTCCCTAGATAAAAAACAGAAGTTCAGAATGTTACCTGGAATGATTAGTGGAAAACGTATGATGGGATTTTGACTGCTTACATTTTTCAGCTTGACAACAAAAACTAAACAATGTATACATATATATATATATATAGTATATATACCATATACTTACTGTGTAATGGAGTTTTGTACGCTCTTTTCATTTAGAGTCATTCCGGGAGGCGGATCATTTTGCAATGCCAATAGCTCCTTTTGTAATCTTTTCTAAAAAGGAATTGTAGGGAATATTTGGAATATTACACTAAGTTCAACAACGAGCACATGCATTTAAGTAAATGTTAATCAATTACTGAAAGTAGACATTTTTAAATGAATCTAATGTTAAGTACAAAGTGTAATTAAAAGTGGAGAAAGAAGAAAGTCATCTGCAAGAAATCAAACTGCAAATTCACAGGCCTTAAGCTAGGAGCTTTCTAACATTTTCCAACATTTACAACAGCAGTAAGCAAAGCATTACAAAATACAGAGTATCCCGGATTTTGTGATACAATAAGAACAGAGGCATGATTTTCATCTTTAACAGTAACTGTTCCATAATCCCCAGATAGCATCAGATTTGCAATTAATTTTTCAAGACTTTAAGAGTACAATTCTTCCTTCTCTTCATTGTTAAAGGTAATTCTATGTGGCATTGGTGCAAGCATTTTCCTTGTCCTAGGTCATCCCAAAGGGACAGAAGACAAAGCTAAACTGGATTACGTGATTTTGCAGAAAATAAACCACTTTATAACTTTTAAACAACTGCATCTTAAAACTTACAGAGTAATATTTACAGAAGTAGCATACCAGTAGGTCAGGTAATTCTCACCTATTTTTACAGGGTGAAGTCAGCAGCTGCAACCAACTATTTTCTGTACAAACTAAGAGCTGTTGTATGAAGCGAGCAATACGGGACCTCAGTGAAGTGTTACCATTGGCAATGCTTTCAAAGAGTATTTTTTTCTCTCCGTAAAACATTATGCAATATGTTTTGTCATTTCCAAGCTGTCCGCATAACGGGAAAAGTCAAGGCTCTCTCATATCTTATTCTCTCTTTTCCTGCCAACACTTTCTTGTTTACAGCTTACCAGTCCATTTCCATCATCCTTACTATTCTAAATGTCCTTACATGAGATTTAAAGCTTACCTAGCACTAAGGATTACAAAATACATTTCCTTTTGGAGTTCAGTACCTAATTTTCATTCAGCATACACTTTTCTTCTTTTTTAAATGTAGGTTTAAAACAAATTTGCAACTTTGGGTTGTTGGTTTTCCTAAACTAACTCTCAAACCACTGTTCCCGATGCTGAATCACAATGTAGAAGTGATTCAATATCTCATTAATATGTTTGAAATAGGTTTACAATAAATTCAGGCAAATCCTGAAGAAAAAGCCCTGGCACCTTCACAGTTTACATTTTGAAATAACTTACTATTAAGCAGCCCTGAAAACTTGCTTTGTGCCTGCAGTACAAAAGTTTCTGATGAATACACATTTTGAGTGCCCTGTTTGTAAGAAATCAAATCATTTTGTTTTGAAGTGACACATTATGTCAGAAAAGAATTTTAATTAAAGGCTACTTTAATTTAAGGCTATTGCTTTTACTGCACACCAACTACATTGCTGAAAACGCAATTAACAACTCTTTCATAAGAAGCCTACATAATTTAGTAATATAAGTCTTTGTGTTCATTTTTCTTCTCCCCAAATGGTAGAGAAAGAAGCTTCAGGTGGTAACACCAACTGTATTTAACACTGCTAACATGAATTAAACTGAATACTCAGACAAAAGCCAAAATAAAGCAAGCCTCTCCAGAAAAGCAAACCTCTAACATTACTACTGAGCAAGAAACGGAAAGTTTCAGCAAAGAATCTTACTGCTTTGAAACAAGGAAAACCACAAAGAAAAGCTGACTATCACCTCCTATCGCACATGGAAGACTCCAGCGCACACCTGACTAACAGGGCTTTTCCAGGCATAGCTCCTGTGGAAATGTCAGCAGGGGTGCCATCAACCAAGAAACCTGGACTCGTCCTCTAGGACTTGTTGTTCACTCGGAAGAATCTCCCATTCAAAACCAAGTCTTAGCAAAGGACACTTTTTCCTTCCACCTCAGGATATCCATTGTAACCCCCCACACCCTCCTCTGGTCTATGCAAGTCTGAGTGTTTGTATTATGATTACGGATTTCATGCATCCCAACACTGCTTCACTTGAGAATAAGGTCAGAAGTGTTTTGGGGTTTTTTTTGGGTTGTTTTTTTTCCCCCCCAAGAGCACCATTTATTACTGGAGGATTAAAGGACCCCAGCTCAAAGCAGCAAGAAATAGGACAGGAGACCAACAGCTGCCATCAGAGAAGTTGTTCATTTTTTCAAGGTTCTCTATCAGAGAAAGATGCAACTTCAGCTATATCTATCATCTTAAGATAACTTCTTTTGAAATGAAAGGACAAAAATACCATTTCATAATCAATTTCCAGGTTTCTCCAGTCCCCACCGTGACAAATCGTGGAAGCATCAGACAGCTCAAGGTGAAAAAAGTACTTCTAAGGTTTCATAAGTGTTATTCTAGCCAGTACAGTCTAAAGATAGAAGCAAGGCAGTCTTTACACAAAGAGAACGCCTTTTACTGGACAAAGTGATAAACACTTAAGACTTGAAGCTCCGGTGTATCATTTTTTTTCCAACTTGGAAAAGTAAAATATACAATTCTACTGTTCTTTAACACTTTATCAACCATGCCATACAAATCTTTCACAGATTAACTGAAAAACATACTAGGACTCAATACTCTTTTACCAGAAGTTTTCAAAATTTGTTCTAACAAGCATCAAACTCAGCTACTTCTGCAGACTAATACATTTCTACAGAGCTTCTCTGGAAGATGCTATCCAGTACCCTAGAGAAACCAGACCAAAATTCATAGAGGTAATTATGATCTACTAACCATAATCTATTCAAATACTGAAAAAGAGGGAGCTAACTAGCATTCAGAAAATAATCTTTTAATTGGCCACTTTGGTCACTCCATTCCACCCTTTGACTACTCTCACAGTACAAAGTGTTCTCTTTACATCTTACTGAAACATCACCCATTCCAATCTGTCTGTTCCCCCTCGGCTTCTAGCTATGAGGAGTCACGGCTTGTTATCCCTCACCCACCCATCCGGACAGCAAAGACATCAGTGTGAACTCCCCTCTGTTTTCTCTTCTTCAGAATGAATAACCTCTTGTACACCATGCAGTTCAACCCCTCATCATCTTGGTAGCCATCTGCTGAACTCACTCCAGTACATCAGTGTCCTTCTTCTAGCAGGGCTCCTTAAGGACATTACACCAAATGTCATCTCAAATGCCAGAAAGGAGGAGAACCATATTCTTCGAGCTGCTGCCTACTCTTCATTCTTGCACGCTGAGCCCAGAATGCAGTTAAAGATAATCAGAAGACTTCGAAAACACTCCCTAAAGTTTCTGAAATTAAACACTGGAAAAGGGACTGTTTCATGGAGAAAAAAAGACTTCCTCGTGTCTGAAAGCCATGAATGTAGCTACTGCTTTTCAGCAACAAAACTGCCATTAGCAGTAGCATACACGGCAGGACAAAGGATATCAGATTAACACCTTCTCAACTCTTAGCCTTCTCATTTGTACAATCTCACAAACTAAAAGCTTGATCATTACTAAAGGAAGTCACCTCTTCATCTTTCTACCGTAAGCATGGATCAAATATACTATTAAATATCACTGAAGTTACAAGCCTTTACTATTTCCCACATTACCTTACCTCTGCTTGTTCTGCTGCTTTTGCAATTGGAATAATTTTCTTCACAGTAAGAAATGCGAGTGAAATAAATTACACCAAATCACTCCTCCTACTCTTCTTACAGGTACAGAATCCTGTTTCCAGCTTACTTTAACAATCTTTACTAAACAGACTATTCTTTAAATTCTCATTTTTTTCCAAGTATTTCATTTTTGCTGCTAACTTACTTAATATGTGATACACACATATATACAGAAACTCAACACTCAAAATCAGCCACTTTGCTGAAGCCTCACAGCTGCACAGTTGAAAAGAATGTTTACTCACTATTTTTCTGTGTATGTGTCCCACATATTTGCCTTCTCCTTGCAGCAGCACAATGCTTTTTACTTGCATTCAGTCTGCATTCTGCCCTGGTTTATGTTTTCCCAAGTGACCCCTATGCATGACGTAACTGTGGTTTCTTCCAAATACCTAAGTGTTTATCTGCCAATGCAGAGTTGCAACTGGACTCCTTATTTGCTTTCCTTAAATGAAGCAAAAGCTTCATGTGCATTGTGTTGGCCTCACCCACAAGTTCTCATTCTACCTTTCCAATCCTTATCCCCATCACACGACAGTTTGAGTGAGCAGCTGCATGGGATCTAGCCATCTGTTCTATGTGGTTAACCCACAGCAGCATTGTCTAGAGCCTCACCAAAGGAACACTGGTCCTTACAGTTAAATACATCATAGCTTTCTCTGCTGAATCCTATTTTGTTGATTTTAATCCTTTTTTCAACTGTAGCTTCTCCATTCGTTGTCACTTCTGTGTTTTCTTAAAATCCCAATCATTTCCAGCTGATAACAGAAAGCATGGTAGATAACACAGACTGCCTTCAAAATACCTTTTGACAGGTCCTGTCAGCTTGACAGAACAAAACTCCCTTCCTCAATCAGACACTCATTTGAAACAGAGTAATTTCACTTCAACCAAACTACAGCTATAATACCTTTAGATATTTCTGCAGTTAGAAGGGCACAAAAAAAGAACCCATTAATTTATACCACATTTTTCTTGCTGACTCATTCAAAAGTTACAGTAACATGAATCAAAAAATATTTGCATCATCAAAAAAAAAAAAACAAACCCTACTGTCCCACTTTCAGAATAGCTACTACACATAAAAAGAATGGAAATCACACCAAATCAATAGTGTGACATGGTCCAGAGCTGTCAAAGGCACAGGTTGATGGCTGGACTAGATGATCTTAGAGGTCTTTTCCAACCTTAATTCTGTGATTCTACATGATTTGTTCTTGAAAACAGCCAAAATGGATGCCCTAGCTACATATAACTTTTTTACATAAGTCACTCCAAAAGTAATGCCCCTATTTATTTCCATGGAAACAACAACAGATACAAAGAATACAATAATACTGTTTGATAGAGCACATACCCAGCCACGAAACACTATT